GCAGTTGTTGTTGATCCGACAGGCAGCTCTTCTGCTTGCCGCTATGGTGTGGAATGCACGGTATCTTGACAGGGCCATGGTGGGATCAAAATTGGCATATTGCTTGGGGCAAAGAAATTAAGAACTAGGATAAGTTACCATGATGGTAAAATATGATTGCAGGTGCCATTCAGTAGTTTGAGATTTCGATTCTATCTAAGATATGAATGATTCAGGAATTTGATCTATGATGGCTTCGACTCATTTCAGCGCCAGTTGGATGAAATCTGTCTGCTTCCAACAGATGTTGATCCGGCAGGAATTCACGCTGGATCGTTGAGCTGCCAAGGACTTTGGTGAAGAGCATCGGAAGAGGTTTACACATCCTGAAGGTATCTTGATGGCCTGCCAATATGGCCTCTCGGCTCTCAACTTTGATCCTTGAAGCATCTTGAATGATATTTACTCAATGTTGGATGATCATCTTGGATTGCAGTAATCGGACTGGACAATGCTTGATGTTGGCAGTTGTGCCATTTAACTACCCCCCTGGGTACAGTTTATGTTTATCCCTTTTGGCTTTAGGGATATCATTTTGTTAGGTATTGAATGCCGCGTTGGGGCTTGTCCTTTTATATGCATGCCCCCCATTGGTGTTACCTAAGGTGCCGGCTGTTACCGGAAAAATCTGGAGCATTTGAAGCAATTTGTGCAGCTCGTCTGCCGGCAATGTTGTTTTAATGGGAGAAAGCTCGAGCTGCGCACAGATCTAAGGTAAAGCCAAACATTCGATGGAACCAGTTTACTGTGTCAGCTTTGGAATAGGGTATTGGTGTCAGTCAGGTATCCATTCCAGACTGTTTTTTGGTGAAAAGAAGGGCCCAATGTACTCTCTGCCTAGGGGTCAAGTTGGGAGGTGGACGTTGGTTTGCATATGTGCTCACAGATGTTGTGCTTGAGCTTTCCTGAATCTTTCATGTTCCCACTCCCCATCTCCCCAACCATTCGCAATGCTCAGTGAAGGCATCCGGGAGACCGCCATTATCACATGGGAATGGTGCATCTTCCCACCCGCAAGGGCGTCGCTTGGCGAAAAGCGAATGTCATCAGGTTGCCACGTGACCTCCTTGGCCTCAGGTCCGCGTGAAGCCGCAGTTTCCAACCTTGTGACTTGCCACATCTGGCCACATGGTGGGGACTTTCAAAGGTTTCCACGGTTGTGCCCATGAATGATGAGAAGATGTAGGAAGGGTGGGGCAAGTATCAGGTGAGAAGTTGAAAGCAGATGTGTGAATTACGGAGGTGTTTGGACCAGAAAGCATTGTTCGTTTCATCCAGGACTCTGTATTTTCCATTCTATGTACATGACTTGCTTGGTGTCAGAATGGCATACAGCTAGCATGGCCAAGGCGAGATCTGTTCAACTACTGTGATCCAGATGAGTCTGGCAACATCTCCATGGAAGAGTTTCAGGATGGTGTTGGCATGGACTTGTGGCCTCAACTGACCGGTGAATCTCCTGGCTTTGGCAATGCAGGGTGTCCATATATTGTGAAACCTTCGTGGGAAACCGATGCAACTCAGTTTTTTCTTCGCTAGAACTGATGTTGCCTCAGATCTTCATATTCTTGATTCCTTGCAAGGTCTTTGAAACAGCCATCTATGTTGGAATGGTGGACTGGTGTCCGGTAGCGTGAACAGAGTGTGTCGCAAGGATGCCTGGCACCATCTCTGCCACCTGCCGCCTGACATCTTTGGCACAGAGGACGGGGTGCTGACATTGGGATGGACCACACCCAGCTCTTAAAGAGATCACAGTGACAACTTTCCCGTGGGAGAAAAAATGGATGTGTCTGAAAATGTATGTGATGGTTTGGACAATACATGGACTATTGAGGCCATTCATTTGTTTTTGGGAACGATCAGCGACATGAGGATTGAAAGGTGAAAGCTATTCAAGGTGAATTGCCAACCTGAAATTCTAGCCATGCTGAAACAAATTCATCCTGATGACATCACGAAGGTCACTGGACAGTAAAGCCTCTTAGGTGTACCCATGATACAATGGCACATCACGCAGCTTCTCTTTGATTTCCCTGCAGGGCAACACTCTGGAAGGATCCCCTGTGGAGGCCCGCTTTGACGCCATACCACATGCCATACACAATTGATTTGGATGAAGTGATCCACAGACAAAATGAAGAAACAACCATTGAAGATGAACTAGAATTGCCTTTTCTTGAGATGATGATGATGTGTAGATTTTAACCATTTTAGCCATTCACCCCGAGCACAGCCAATACAGCCCATGCCTTCCGAAGAACTTCACTTTGGCAAAGAACACGGTCCAGGCTTGGAAGTCTGCAGCCGGAGATGAACGCAGCCATTTGACTTTTGCGCAGTTCGCACGATGGGCCTCGGAGCGCCGGGTGCTGGAGTGGAACACTGGAAAGAAATGATTTCTGAATGTTATCTATGTATCTAATCGTCTATAGCTATATATATATATATGTATGTATATTTGCAAAGCTTTGTATATACATACATATTGAAGATGTACTAGGCGCAGTATATCTGGAATGGCTCATCTTGTTCATAATGCCATCCAGGGCCTGCTATTTCCTTCCTTTCCGGGATCGATCAATGAGCTTAGAGCCACTTTTTCATGAGAAACTCTGGAGCCCCCCATGGCATTCTAAGTCTCTAAGTGCACCTATTCAGGGTGGGTCCCTTACAAATCTTCTGAAAGTTGACATGTGAATCCCGGGTCTGCCTCTGCGGCCTCAAGTTTTCGCGGAGGATGTGAAGATCAAGTTGCCTGTTGGCGTGGATCCAGCTGATGCCCAAGCTCTTCGACCGTGTCGCTTTGAATATGGCAAGCGATGTCCTTGTGCCAATTTTAAGGTGCCCATTCGGGCCCATCAAACTGGGAGATAGGAAAAAAGGGCCCCAGATTGCTGATGAATTTGTTGATTGCTATAGGTTTTGATATGATCGCATGTGTGCTGCACTGGGGACCACATTTATGGAAGTTGCAGGCATTTGCAGGAAGATCCAATAGGCTTGCTCAATGGATAGGGCTCTTTCCAAAGTATGTGGGCCGAATATGATGGCTCCAACCGCCACGGACCTAAGTCATTGTATTTGCATGTATTTGTCCATTTTGGTCTAATCAGAATCAGCCTTCACTGGTTCTGCAGGGTTTCCAGGCCCCCACGAAGGTCCCATCTTTGCACCGCCAGGCAGGGGCCAGCAACCATATGTGCGAGTGCGGCCACAAGAGTTGCGCGCATCTGTCGGACGTGGCCCTCATGAGCTTAGAGGAGCAGGAGGTGCTGTGAAATCGCTATGATCTCATTGAGAAGGGAAGAAGGGTTGGTTATCTAATTTGTTGGCTATCTTAGCATGGTTGCTGCCGGCAGTGTTGCTTCCACTGTTATTTTTCATTCGCCAGTTTGATGGTCAGCAAATTGCTTAGTGCCAAGGCACTATGGATTCTTGTCTTGCTATCCTCCTTGTTCCTCCTTGTTCCTCCTTGTTCCTCCTTGTTCCTCCTTGTTCCTCCTTGTTCCTCCTTCACCTCGAGAACGGCAGGTGCTGACAAAGCTAAAACGCCGCGCCTTGGGGCGGGCCTCCACGAAGCTCTTCGCGCCCGAGCGGAAGCCAGGCTTCTCCATGGTGACCAACAAGGCCAATGGAAACGATTGCTTCGGTGTTCCATGTTGGTCTCTTTTTTTGGGCACGGCTGGTTGCAAGGTCAATATTTGAAGACAGGAAATGAAGCGATTCCAACAAGATTCTGATGAAATGCCCGGCACTGCAAGGAGGTGTTAGCAGCACTGCAGAAGATCCTCTCAGACACTCACAAGGCCACGGACAACTGGACGAGGTGCCGGCGCACATAGCAGTGAGATTAAGATTCGGGTTGACAGTTCTTGCTTACCCAGCAGCTTTGAAAGTTGTTGCAGGTTCTGAAAGCAGCCTTTTGGATTCTTGGAATGCTGGGACAAAACATGTCTTTCGGAAATCCACCGTCTCTACCGTTTGGGTTTCGATTGCCGTTGGGGTCACCTTGGTCGGTCGCAGGGATCGTGGCTGCGCCTTGCACGGAAGACATCACTGTGACACTGCGTGCATTTTCAAGCATCGAGCCAGCGTTCCAACAGGTTTCGAACTTACCCGGGCCGTACCTCTGCTTCAATGGGTCAAGCTGCTGTAGTCCTTCAGATAAGCGGCCATGTGGATAGATACTTCAAATATCATTCCAGTGTCAGGAGACTTCTGAAGATTTGAGGATTGAAGCTAAAGGTGCTTTTGACGTTCCCAATCCTTGAGCTTGCGCAGTCAGCCTCACGCAACCAAGGAGAGGAATCGCAATGCTCCTTTGTGGCATGTTTATGCAACAACGAGAAGTGCGATAAAGCAAGAGACGCAGAGTGGCACTGGCCCATCGCTGCAGAGGTTTTCTCCCCTTAGTGCCTTTGCAGCTTGGTGGCAGGGCTACTGTCGATGGATCTAGGGCAGAGATAGGAAGACGGTCAAACGTCAGACATCCAGAGGCCCAAATTTCAGGACTCGGTAGCTTGAGTGGCCAGTTGTGATATTTACATTTTACATTTTATAGAGGGCATTCGTTCCGTGAGATGCTACAATCCTGTATTTGTTTGCTTTGTTGCAAAAGCTTACAAACCAAGGCAAGCAAGATCCTGCCCTTCATCACACAATTCATGGTATGTGTTTCATAATGATGGATCTACCGACAATAATTTTCAAACTAAGTTGGTTGCATTGCCCAAAAGAGGTCACTGAAGGTTTGCCCATGTGATATGTATGTTTCGGCAGACTTGCTCAGGAAGTGCCGCTGGAGGACCTGAGGGTAGAGGGTGTCCGCTTGGATCTGGGGATGTGTGAGGATTTGGAGCCCCATTTCATACCATTATCTGTCAGGTTGTGATTCCTGTGATTCCTGGCGTCAACATCATATTTTTGGTAATCCCCATTGTCAGACAAACCTATCCATTGCGGCGGCTGGGCAAATTGACCCACTGGCTTTTTTAATAGTCATGGGCCTACAGAAAAGTTTGCACATTGTCATGGTTTTGAATTCAACGAACCAATGCACAATGCCATCGGAAGGTTGGAAGTTAACCTGTCGCCAGTAATCAGTAAACGAAAAGGTTGCCGGATCTGGTTTGATGTAGAGACCCAGCGCAAGACTCCTACTTCAAGTGGCGAGCAGGGATGAGCATGGAATTTGTGAATGAGGCTTTTGGTTCCATTGCTATTGGCAAAGGATGACTGATGGGGTAAACCCATCACACAAATTGCAGGAGCCATTGGATCCGGAAGTCCGGCCCTCAAGGTTGTGTTTGAAATTTCTCATTGGCTCGTGCCAAATGTCGATGACGCTGTGATGCCTGGTCGTGTCAGGGTCTGCAAGATATTGTTCTTCAAATTGAGGGCAATAAGGTTCATGGTTTTGCGATGGGTTTTGCTCAAGGCTGCTTTGGGACTCTTCAGTGCTTTTGTGCCGCTGTCCATGTGCACACTCACTTGCCATCTAACCTGGCCACCATGGTTTCAAAATGATCAAACAAACATGAGCCAGCATCAGGTGAACGAATGGCGACTGTTGCATGGAAGTGGTTGGGAGGCTTGTAAAGGCCAGCTCCGGGATTGGGAGGCCATCGGTATTCTAGAAATCTCAAGCGCTTCATGGTACCCTTCCGGTGAAGATGAGTGAAGGCCCTTGAAAAGCCTAATGCCTGACAGCTGCGGGTCATCTCAAAACTCAAGACCTCAATGGTTTCTACGTTTGCCCAAGTCAATGAAGTTTCTGCTCTCGGTTGGTTGAGACAGGTATATGTGGCAGCAACTTCCGGCTGATTCTCAGCAGCCAATTGCACTAGTATGTTCCCAAGAAAGCAAAAAATCTCGCAGTTCCGTTTAAGCACCTCAAAAGTCGAATCATTCATTGTCGCACCAATCTCAGGCCCTCTCAAATTTAGAAAAAGACATTAAACATTTAGACGCAAAAAGCATTGGGCCCAGGTCACCATGGTTGCACCCCATTTGCATCTTTTTCCAGGGTTCCAAGTGTTCAACGAGATTTGAGTCAGTGCACGCACTGGCTTATAGTACACTGAACAGCAGAGCCTGTGCTGGTCACCCTATACCTCCAGTGGGTTCTTTTGTACTTTCGTTTTCATTTGAGGGAGTTGATTGTCTGTTGGATCTGTAGCATGTGCGATCTCTTTCCAAGGAAACTGGCTGGGACTGGTGCCACATGGAAGACTCCAGGAATGGAGAGCGGTCGCACCTTGGATCTCAGTTGCTTTGGGATAGCGTTGCACTATCGATCAGTTGCTGCAGTGGCTTGTTGCATTTTTTCCCGAGAGCGCCTGCGAAGGGTTCTTTGTAAAAAAGCAGCCGTTGTAATACATCTTCACACCCTCACATCTGCTGATCTACATCTTCACACCCTCACATCTGCTGATCAACATCTTCACACCCTCACATCTGCTGATCTACATCTTCACACCCTCACATCTGCTGATCTACATCTTCACACCCTCACATCTGCTGATCTACATCTTCACACCCTCACATCTGCTGATCTACATCTTTACACCCTAACATACATCTTCACACCCTCACATCTGCTGATCTACATCTTCACACCCTCACATCTGCTGATCTACGTCTTCACACCCTCACATCTGCTGATCTACATCTTCACACCCTCACATCTGCTGATCTACATCTTTACACCCTAACATACATCTTCACACCCTCACATCTGCTGATCTACATCTTCACACCCTCACATCTGCTGATCTACATCTTCACACCCTCACACCTGCAAATCTACATTCTTCACACCCTCACATCTGCAGATCTACATCTTCACACCTTCACATCTGCACATCTACATCCTCGCACCTTCACATCTGCAGATCTACATCTTCACACCTTCACATCTGCAGATCTACATCCTCGCACCTTCACATCTGCGGATCTTCTCTCGCTCTTCTTTCTATCACTCTCTTAAGGCGGGGGAGGTGCCGCCGGAGCGCCACGAAACGCAACCTTTTCGCACGAAATGGACGTTGGACGTCAAAAACTGAGGTAAAATTGCGATTTTAGTTAGTCCATCGCAACCCTTTCGCACAAAATGGACGTTGGACGTCAAAAACTGAGGAAAAATTGCGATTATTGAAGTATCCATCGCAACCCTTTCGCACGAAATGGACGTTGGACGTCAAAAACTGAAGAAATGCGATTATTGAAGTATCCATCGCAACCCTTTCACACGAAATGGACGTTGGACGTCAAAAACTGAGGTAAAATTTCGATTTTGAGGTGTCAATCGCAACCCTTTCACGCGAAATGGACGTTGGACGTCAAAAACTGAGGTAAAATTGCGATTTTAGTTAGTCCATCGCAACCCTTTCGCACAAAATGGACGTTGGACGTCAAAAACTGAGGAAAAATTGCGATTTTAGTTAGTCCATCGCAACCCTTTCGCACAAAATGGACGTTGGACGTCAAAAACTGAGGAAAAATTGCGATTATTGAAGTATCCATCGCAACCCTTTCACACGAAATGGACGTTGGACGTCAAAAACTGAGGAAAAATTTCGATTTTGAAGTATCCATCGCAACCTTTTCACACGAAATGGACGTTGGACGTCAAAAACTGAGGTAAAATTGCGATTTTGAGGTGTCAATCGCAACCGTTACACGCGAAATGGACGTTGGACGTCAAAAACTGAGGTAAAATTCCGATTTCACGGGTCCGGTCTTTATATGTGAAAGAGTTTGTGTGTAAAGGAGTTTCTGTGTGTGAAAGTTTCTGTGCGCAAACATCTCTGTAAGGAGTCTGTGTGTAAAAGCTTCTGTGTCTGAAAGCGTCTGTGTGTAAAAGCGCCTGTGTGTAAAAGTTTCTGTGTGTAAAAGTGTCTGTGTGTAAAAGCGTCTGTGTGTAAAAGCATTTGTGTGTAAGAGCGTCTGTGTGTAAAAGTTTCTGTGTGTAAAAGTGTCTGTGTGTAAAAGCGTCTGTGTGTAAAAGCTTCTGTGTGTAAAAGCGTCTGTGTGTAAAAGCGTCTGTGTGTAAAAGCGTTTGTGTGTGAAAGTGTGTGTGCGTGTGTAAAAGCATCTGCGTGTAAAAACGTCTGTGTGTAAAAGTGTCTGTGTGTAAAAGTGTCTGTGTGTAAAAGCGTCTGTGTGTAAAAGCGCCTGTGTGTAAACGAGTCTGTGTGTAAAGGAGTCTGTGTGTAAAAAAAGGCGCCTGTGTGTAAAAGAGCCTGCGTGTAAAGGAGTCTGTGTGTAAAAGCGTCTGTGTGTAAAAGCCTATGGGCGTGACAAGTGTCTGTGTGTAAAAGTGTCTGTGTCTAAAAGTGTCTGTGTGTAAAAGCGTCTGTGTGTAAAAGCGTCTGTGTGTAAAAGCGCCTGTGTGTAAAAGAGTCTGTGTGTAAAGGAGTCTGTGTGTAAAAGCGTCTGTGTGTAAAAGGGTCTGTGTGTAAAAGTGTCTGTGTGTAAAAGTCTGCGATTGAGACATGCAATGGTTGGATTGAAAATTTATTTATTTCTGAAAGTTTCTGTGTGTGTGTGAAAGCTTCTGTGTGTAAAAGCCTATGTGTAAAAGTCTGCGATTGAGACATACAATGGTTGGATTGAAAATTGATTTCTGAAAGTTTCTGTGTGTAAAAGCCTCTGTGTGGAAAAGCCTCTGTGTGTAAAAGCTTCTGCGTGTAAATGTGCCTGTGTGTAAAAGCGTCTGTGTGTAAAATGGTCTGTGTGTAAAAGTGTCTGTGTGTAAAACCTTCTGTGTGTAAAAGTGTCCGTGTGTAAAAGCGTCTGTGTGTAAAAGTTTCTGTGTGTAAAAGTTTCTGTGTGTAAAAGTGTCTGTGCGTGTAAAAGCGTCTGTGTGTAAAAGCGTCTGTGTGTAAAAGCTCCTGTGTGTAAAAGCGTCTGTGTGTAAAAGCGTCTATGTGTAAAAGCCTCTCTGTATAAAAGCAGAATGATGGTACCGAGCTTTTTCGGCAATGTGTGTGGGAATTACCATAGTAAAATGAGATAACACATGTCATTCGCAGCATCATGGTACCGAGCCTCCTGTGCACTTTTGTTGCTCACATTACATTTCTTCATGTTTTCTTTCTATCTCCCTTTCTTTCTCTCTCCCTCTTTCTCTCTCTCCCTCTCTCTCTCTCTCTCGCTTTATCTCTCTCTCTCTCTCTCTCTATCTATGTCTCTCTGTGGTTGCAAGTCACGTGTCATATGATGCCCTTTACCAAGCAGCACGGTGCATGTGCATGGGTTGTCACATGTATTCTCTTCTGTCTCTTCTTAATCAATCTTACTTTTCACAACTTATCCCTCCATAGCTCATGCACAATTCACCAACCATTCACCGACTATTTTTTACGACTACCATACTCAGAGCTGCTTGAAAAACGTCTTTTTTCGCTCTCGGGCCAACCGTCGTCTAGTTTCTAAGGTGACTTCCTTCTTTCCTTCTTTGCTTCCTTCCTAACGCATCTCTGCTGATTTCTCATCTGTCCCTAAAATGTTGATGTCAAATCTAAGAACCACTTTATGGCTACGGTGTCTACTTGGCAGATCCTTGGCAGCATTCACATTAGCATTCATTCGCACAAGAACTGGCTACGATCTTCGCACGTGTTGCAAATTGCTCGCGCCATGGCAGCTTGTCGGTCAGGAACGCTCCACAAAGGCTGATGAATATGCTGAAGAGATCCATGGTGGCTTGAAATCTGATGAAGGTCTCTTAGCTTGGGAGTTACAGTACCGGCGCAAGATTGGAGGGATTGGAGTCCCAGAATGTACACCCTCAAAGCCTCAAGCGACTCGAATCCCGAATTGTTTCCAGATAGATGGTTCTTGCTTGACATGTCACTGGCAGCTCGCAAATTCTCAGCCCACACGGCTGAGGTTGCCACACCATGTTGGTTTGTCGAGTGGTGGGTGGACTCTGCCGGGTGGTAGCCGGGCACTCGGAGGCGAAAAGATTCAGTCATGTAGTGTGGACATTCATTATGAGGGACTTTGCACGTCTAAGCATTGAAAAATTGGTTGAACCATACACTAGTTGGTGATCAGTGGGGGCATGAAGAAAATTGTAGCAGGAGCTTTCACCGCAAGGCGCTACTGAAAGCCCAGCAAAGCAAAATTACCACAAACCATACTCGGACCACTTTGCAATCACATCAAGCACATGGAATTCCAAGGGGCACGGAAAACATATCGGATGCGTTTGTTGGAAGATTTTGTTTCCTTCTTGCTCGCCATCCTGGTTGACTGGCTGAGGATACCAACGAATTTGATGCAGACGACCTGCCATCCCCTTAGATGGGGGCCAGGCTGATACGGCATTGAAACTGAAGAGTTTTGGTATCCAGAGAGCCAGTTGATCTTGTGTGGCAGCACAGGAACCCAGAAGGCATTTTGTGCTGCTGTTTGGGATTCTGTTCCGGCATTTTGTTTTCAAATTGGTTCAGAAGGCCAAAAGCCAACATCCCAAGCAGTGGTGATTATTACTGTTTGACCAAGAAGACCCTGTGCGCAGACTTAAATCCATTCCGTCAATGTAGTGAAAGACTGTTTTAAATTTTCTTTGGTGCAAAAACAAAACATAGAATTCCATCGGTGGACACATTGCAAAAATGCCAGCGTGCGTGCCTATTTTGTGATGGAAAGATGGCAAAGTCTTCTTTTTCTTTTTTATTTTTGAACAGTCCGTCACCCCCCACCGACTGCAGTAGATGGCTGCATTGGTTCACGCGCGCCTTCCAGAGGCGTCGGGATATCTTAGACGGGCCGTACCACTCTGTGCTGGGCGACCGCGTGGTGAAGCTTGGAAAACCTTACCGAGAGGTTGTGGCTAGGGTCCTCAATCAAGGGGCGGGAGCAGATTTTAAGACTGACCGCTGGCAGGGGGTGGCCGCCAATGATGACAACTTAGCCATGAACAAAAGAAATAAGTGTTTGTGATCAGGAAAGCCATATTTCCGAAACTCTTTGATGAATATGCTTTGTCGCCATGCCTTTAACATCGCAGCTTTAACATCGCAGCAACTGATTCATACTTTGCCGTGTGAGGTTCACGACAACAATCAAATATTTCCAGAGTTCATCCTCTACTACAAGCGGTCGCTTGGCCCCATTCAGGGTCAGCTGCGGATCATCTTCATTGCAGCTTTGGGCCTACTGGTCCGTGTCATTCAAAAGCCATGATTTTCTTGCAATTTCCTTGATGCCGCATCCCAGGCTTGGGATGCCAGATTGATCCAGGCACACGCTGAAAGATTTGGGTGGTCCTTCAAGAGATTTGCTTCAGGTGTCACTTCTGTCATGCAGCCATCATCCATGAGCTATATTTCCCATTGCTGAAGCCAGTAGCAAGTATCATTTATTTTCCCGTTCGGGATACATATTGGTGCAATCCAAGAAGGGTTTTCCATTTGCTGCAACATTTTCCGTTTGCTTGTATTGCAAGGCCTGTTGAAAGACATCAAATTAAGCTGCTATTTGTTTCCGAAAATAGAACAGGATTGCAAACGGTGGCTGAAAAGTAAGGCCGCTATTTTGCATGCAAATCGCATCGAGTATGTCTAACTGTTTTTTAATGGGCAAAAGATTTTGGCAGGGATACGCTGATTGCAGACAGGAACAAAAATCCTTTAAACCTTTTTTTTACAAGCAGACCAACGAATATTTTTTCTTTGAATCTTGAAGATGTTTGGTTACTTGTTCTTAGAATTAATTCTTCCAATATTACGAATAGCTTTGCAGGGCAACCAAAACTACGCGGATTCCCGACGAAAAGATGTCTCTCTTTTTCGTTTTTTTGCTCGAACCTTAACTCTTCAGTTTAATTTTCCGAAAACCAAATTTCTGCTTTCAGAGGCCGAAAGGCTTGGCTTCGTGCAGAAATTCCAAAAAAGTTACCGCTTGTTTACTTTTTTTCTTAGTTCACATTGCGAACGGCAGGACGTCGCTTTTTTCGCATTTTGGTGACTCTTCCTCCGGCCTATACGCCGCTGCCTGCGCAATGGGCAGATAGTCATTTGATTCCTCCTGGGCTGTTTCTTTTGTCCTGTTCCAGCAAATGGACGTAAGGGTTCCGAATATGGTGTTGGAAAAACAATTCTTCTATTGCAAGATATATCTTCAATTTGTCTGAAACTTCAACTATTAGGACGACGAACGGTGACAACCAACGGCGGATAAGGGAAGACAGGACGAAGCACGACGGACAGGGCGAAGGACGGAAGATGAAGGACGAAGGACGGAAGTGACGGAAGCGATAGAGGTGACGAAGCGGCGGAAGACGGAGGATGGAGGAAGGAAGAGGAAGTATGGAGGACCGAGAAGTGAGGATAGAAAACGGAGGATTGAAGTCGGAGGATAAAGGACAAAAATATTTGGGATTTAGGATTGACGGCAAATAAAGGATGGAGGACGAAAAAAAAGAACTTAAAAATTATTTTTGAAAAACGGAGGAAAATAAATACGATAAATAA